CCGGGTGAAAGCTTCGCTCTGCCCAGACGGAGAAAGGGCAGCCAGGCCGAGCCCAAGAGGCCCAGGAAGAGGAGGGGAGAGTCCGGCAGCTCAGACCCTCGCACGTCCCACACGCTGAGAGAGTCGGCCCACGGGGACCAGGATGAGCCGTGGGTGGACAGATACTCCCCGCGTTCGCAGGTCAGCATCGTCGCTTTTGAAGTTTGTTCTGGAACCCACAAACACATCTGGGTACAGCCAACAACTGGTCTGAATCAAGTACTGCGCTGTGTCTGTAGTTCAGCATGTGGGCTGTAGTGCTTGGACACGGAGCAGGAGAGCGAGTGTTGCATCTTCACCACATGGGAGCGTTTAAATAACGTGTGCATCTTACCAAAAACCCGTTAGATAGAAAACCCATTATTGACTTGGAGACGAGGGAACCAGAAGTGTGAAGATGCTGACTCTGTTCTGGGTTTTAGGAGTGCGTCACTTTTATAATTTGCACCATTGCATGCAATGCCTTGATACGCCAAAACCGTTTTTATTTCTTTTACTCACTCTTTCAACGTACATATGGACATGTGAGAGTTGTTCTGAGACTGACTTTGAAGATGGCGCGGGACGTCATCTTCTCCACTGCTGCCGGTTCAACATGCAGCACGTCTTCACAGCTGATATCCTCTCGTCTATCTGATTTGAGTGTCTGGAGGGTGAACCACATGTGTTCTTTAGCTGTGATAAAACCTTATAGTGTGTAGTGATGGTTACTTTGTGTGTGTGTGTGTGTGTGTGTGTAGGCCGAGCTCGCTGTCCACAAGAAGAAGATAGAGGAAGTAGAGAACTGGATGAGAGAGCACTTAAACGCATCGAAGGTAAGAGAAGTTTCACCATATCTGTAACTGAAGCCTCGTTCTCCTAACAATGTTTGCGACGACTGTTGTTAAGAAAAACAAATTCCAACAGCTTAGCTTTGCCGGGGGGGGGGGGGGTCTCCAGTGAGGATACACGGTTCAGGCCTGAACTGTTATCATCCACAGGGTGGCGTCTTGCTGCTGACGGGACCGTCGGGCTGCGGGAAGACCGCCACGATCCAGGTTCTGTCTCTGGAGCTGGACGTCAGGGTTCAGGAGTGGACCAACCCGTCCAACACGGAGCCGTACAGCAGCAGTCGGCACGGTGAGGAGAAGCCTCGTATCCTCGTTATTATCGTAAATATGAAAGACAATCACCCCGAGAACTGAAAACATGAAGATGCTGATGTTGAGACAGGTCACAGTTGGTGCTGATGTATTAAATTGCTTTATTTTGAAAGGTGCTCCGAATATTCCTGGAGATGTTTGTCAATGGTCGTGGATAATAATACAAATAATAATAATCCATTCTATATGTACAGCACCTTTCATGCAAGAAAAGCCACCCAGTGTGGAGCTGTGGGGTTCTCAGAACACACACAATCTATCAACCGGTGAACACAATCATAAAGAAAATATATATTATATATTTAAAATATTAAAAGTCAAGTAAAATACAGACTTTAAAAAGAATGATAGCAGTGAAAATAAGACATAGATTAGTAGAGTGAACAGGTACTTTTGATTATTAAACATAAAGTGTGACGTCTTGCACGTAAGAATGAATGTGTGTTTTTGGGGGCAGGCTGACGGCTGACCTGCTTCTCTATCCTGTGTCTGTGTGCCGTCTCTGATTCTCCATCTTTCGCACAGACTGGAGGACGAACGGCTCGTCCTGCAGCTCCCAGTTAGCCCCGTTCCAGGACTTCCTCCTCCGAGCGAACAAGTACAGCTGCCTGAAGATGGTGGGGGACGGGGCGGCCGCAGACGGGAAGCTCATCCTGGTGGAGGTACGTACGGCGCTCCACCCTCACTGCGTGGCAACATTGTATCAATCTTTTATTTTATAAACTATTAACGCTGCAAATACAAAGTTAACCTTTTGGAAGTGAGTGCTGTCTCAGTCCACGAGATGGTGTTTCTGCTGCCGGCATGACGGACGAAACCGCTGTGATTAAAACAATGAATACAAAACGATTGAAGTGGATAAACCAAGTGGAACTCTCATGTTTGTATCACTGTTGCTGCTGTAATATTTAGGAGGCATGTAGAATGACGTAATGAATGGTTGGTTGATTCATAACTGCAGTAGATGCTCTGGTCTCTTCTTCACAGACTAATCCTCCTGTGTTTAACACCACTGAGGATACGTGGGGTACTGTTGAGAACAGGATTGTGTGATTGTCTGAAGCTGCCGTGTTTAGCTCTATAGTTCACACTTGGTCACCACATCTCCCTCCTCAGGATTTCCCAAACCAGTTCTACAGGCAGCCCGGCAGCCTGCACGACATCCTGAGGTGAGAGCACAGCTTTCACACAGCAGAGCAGGAGAGGTTCCTGTGACGGTACCACTACCGCTACTGGTTTCACTCTGCAGCTCCACAGTGTCTCTGCGTTATGTGTAAAAGAGAACGATAGGAGGCACTAAAGATTTGTTTTATTGAAGAAACAGATGATGCTTAATTTACAGTGCTACTGCAATATTTTAGATGTACTATAAAGTTATCCATTCATGCATGAACAAATAGATTTCGCTGAAAGGGGAAAAAAATGCACGTGTGTACAGATGCATGTAAATGTTCTTCAACATTCAAGTACAAATAGCCCCAATCGCCCAGGACGAGTATTGCCAAGGGACTGTACTATAAATGATGATACTATATCATATTCATATTTAATATTATTATAATAAATAGGCCTATTTATGTTACAATAATACTCACAAAGACCTCTTGCTGCGGTGCTAACGGGTCTTTATGCTGTGCAGAGAGACGAGCCTCCTTACTGCCGACCCGGCCTCCATGATCCTCCGCCGGGAAGGAGGCAGGAAACAGAAAACCTTATAAAGAAAGTACAGTCGGTCATTTGCAGGAGAATGTTACTTGACAAATTAGGGACGTGGTAGATTGGCTCGGGATTAAGATCGTAGACAACCTCTGCAATGATTACAGAGTACTGGAGGTGCCCAGGTAATACTAGTGCCGTGTGAAAGAGCTAATAACTATACATCATCTAAACAATAAGAACACCATCCACCAACCATCCCTCTGCTATGGTTCCGTTTCCTTTTCACTGATATACACACGTGTCCACATCTATACACCTCAATGAGCTTCATGTCATGATGGTGATTTTTATTTTATTTTCAATGCAGTGCTTGAAAGTAACAAAGTATTTCTTGTATTGTTTCACATTAACTGGGCTCATGTCCCCCAATTTAAATAGTATGTTTCAAAAATCAGTGTCCATGAATCTCACCTGTGTCTTGTGTCTTGTGTCCCGCCGCGTGTCTTCCAGGCGCTTTGTGAAGACCAGCCGATGTCCCCTGGTGTTCATCGTGTCGGACAGTCTAAGCGGAGACAGCAGCTCGCGCTTCCTGTTCCCCAGAGAGATCCAGGAGGAGCTGGACATCAGCAGCATCAGGTTGGCTTTGACGGGGGGGTGTTTGACCTTTACACAGAACCCACCGTAGACCCCCAGGGACCCCTGTTGGAATCAGTTTATTCCCGGCTGTGGACTTTAGAGGGATGGTTGCTCGTGTACATCCATGGATAGATTTACCGAGGAACCTTCTGTTTTGGTAAAAGTCGATATTTAATTCCTGTTTGTTTTAATCACCACGATCTCCCTGGTGCATCGGGTGAGTCCCGTCTGGCAGAGGATTCTATCGGGAACGCCATGAGGGAATCTCTTCAACATATTAGAAGCTTATTCCTCAACATGCTCCTCTGCTCTTTGTATGTGTGCATGTCCGCTGGTCTCTCTCGCTGTCTGTCTGGTTATATGTGACATATATGTGGAATTAGGACGAAGTAAAAACAATCACAGAGAGCATCGTGTGTTAGGTAAAAACCAGCCCGGAGATGAAACTCCAGAAGAACAGCGGGGAGATGGGAAGACAATCAAAATGTTTAGCAATCATGGAATGAATACTTAATCATTCATCATAATCAGATCATTTATATAATGTCTCCTTTGAAATCATCTATAATCAGTGATCTGTTTGTTCTCCAGCCCGATTCGCTCGTGGAATAAATAGACACGTCATTAGCTGCGTCGCTCTCAGAGCCAATCACAGAGCAGGCGAGCAAACGTTTCAGTTTACAATCTGCACTTCCTGCACAGACATTTCACATTAAAATCGTTCAGTGGCTCAGAGGATAAAAGCTCTCGCATGTCTAAAAAGGACTTTTAATGTGAAACATCTGCAGGAGTTTAATTAACAGGAGGAAGGAAACCCTGAACTCTCTGGATCCCACTGAACATGGTCTTGTGCTCTTCCAGCTTTAACCCCGTGGCTCCAACCACAATGATGAAGGTCCTCACTCGAATTTCAGCGGCGGAGGCAGGACAGGTGAAAGCAGTCCTTGCAGTTTATCACACATATTAGTACGATTCTTTATTTATTTTTGACGGGATTTCTACTGTCTATTTCCCCCATAATCGTAAGCAGAGCTGTGGGAGGATGTGCGTCACAGACCAGGCGGTGTTGGAGACGCTGTGTTCAGGAAGCTCGGGAGATATTCGCAGCGCCATCAACAGCCTCCAGTTCTCCTCGCTCCCAGGTCAGGCCACGCAGGGGCAGTCAAACACGTGAACCTGTTGATGTGAATGAGCATTAACTGCCATTGAGCAAATGTCGCCCCGTCTCATCAACTGACATCAAAGAACATCTGTCATCGTTATAACTTTGCAGACACGTCGTTGGAAAAGGGTCTGTGGAGGATGAAGAAGGACAGACGTGCGGCTTTGCCTAGCAAAGCCGCTTCCAGAACAACCCAGAGGAGGAAGAAGTCCAAGCTGACGAAGGAGCCGGAGGAGGAGCAGGCCATTGGAGGGAAGGATGCTTCCCTGTTTCTGTTCAGAGCTCTGGGGAAGATCCTGCACTGCAAACGTGAGTTGCATCTCCCGGTTTGCATAGAGTACCTACCAACAACTATAGTGTGCGCATCAGTGCCGGATAGACCTTCTTCCTGTGTGCCATCATGGAGTTCCATTGTTGTCCAAAAACTATGAAACGCACATCAGTGAGCCACACCTTCATCACATGACGACACACTTTAGGTAGTTTTCACTCAATCACACATCCACTGTCCTGCTGTAGTGCATCCAGAATCGGGCTTAATACAGCATGTACTTCCCCCGAGCTAAGCAACGCCGTGGTAACAACCTGACAATCACAAGGTAGCCCCGCCCTCTGTTTGACTCTAGATGGCCCATAACTTACTAAATGAACATCATGCTGTATTGAAGAAGACTTGAAACTAGAGATTGAGACCATAAACTCATGTTTACAATGTTTACTGAGGTAATAAATCAAGAGAGAAGTAGAGTCATTTTCTCATAGACTTCTATACAACCAGAGGAGTCGCCCCCTGGTGGTCACTAGAGAGAATGCAGGTTGAGCTGAGAGCTGCAGATGGGGTAGGGCAGTCAGAGTCTCAAGAAACACACTAAAACACTTTTAGTGGGATTTGTTGACAATAAGACATAAATAATATCATCGCGTTATTCTTTAAAGTCTTGATTCATCAGCGATAACCAACAAAATGAATCCGATGTAGAAATGTGTTTCCGTTGGAACATGTTGACTGTTTAACTTGGCAGGAGTGTCACCAGACCCCTCTACTTTTGCATCGTAAATTGTTTTAAGTGAATTCACATCCATGCAGAAAGTCACCGCTAAGACATTTGGATGACGAGGACCACGTGAAGCACAGTCTCCAGTGTGTGATAAAGCGCTGCGCTGTGTTTGTGCTCGATGACACACGACGGACTCTAGTGATTGAAAGTCACACGGAGGCAAATCATTTGTATCCCTGGTTGTTTTGTCATCAACAGGAGAGAAACCTGAAGATGGAGAAGCAGCTGCATGTGCCCCTGGACCTGGTCTACCATCTCACCTGTCCCATCATCACAGAGGAGCACTGCTTGTAGAACCTGAGGTTCGCCTGCTTTTTACCAAAGTATTATTAACGGGTAACATCAAGCATGTCCATATGTCCTTGTAGTCTTTGAGAACACTGAAGAACTCGGCTGTCCGTGTCTCTTTCTGTTCAGTTGGTTGTTGAGCGTTCGCACATGTCTGGAGAGTTCTTCAACCTGTACCTCCATCAGAACTACCTGGACTTCTTCTCCGAGGTGGAGGACGTGGACCGGGCCAGCGAGTATCTGTCTGACGCCGACCTCCTCACTTCTGATTGGACGGTCAGTCTTTCCCTTGGCACTAATATATGATATGAATGCTTTCATCTGTGGAAATTGAACCAAAGTGTTCCAGATGTCGGCATGCTATATTTAAGGAGTTGCTTCCGCATTAATATAGAAAAACCACCAGTTCCAAGCCCCTATCTGCGACGAGCTGACACATCTTTGGACGTCTGTTGTCTGTGTTTATGACGTCTGTTGTCTGGCAGATTTTTCATCAGTTAAAACAAGCTGTCGGATAAATCTGAACACCTTTTTTTGGAGAGTGCTTTCAAAAATCAGACTAAAACAGCAGCAATAATATAAAAAGCGGCACCTTTTCAATACCAGTATCTGTGAGAGACACCTCAGTCTGGAAACAACACATGAATCCTTCTGCAGTGCATTACAAGTGTGCTGTAATCTAGAAAAACAAGGTTTAAACACAGCAGCTCTAAAACGAGGCACGGAATGTCTTATGCTGCGTTCACACCAAACACGTCGCGAATTCATCGCGCCGCGTATTCGCGGCGGAGCCGGAGAGGGGGCGTGGCTTATCGCCCTGAAAGCCGTTCAACTGTCCGCCATTAACCATGGAAAAAATAACCTCTATTTCTGCTTAGTACATGTTGTGGAAGTCACAGATATCCCGGGAAACTAAACGCCGTCATGTCTGGTTCATAACATTGTCCAGAGGAGCTCCGTGGATTTTATCAAAGTGTGTTCACTGTGTCTATCAAGCCACAGGTCGCTGTTTACTACAGCTGTATGAACACTAAATAAACTGATTGCTGTGATTTAACGGCAATAAACCGACAAAAAGGGACTCCGAAATAACTACGTAATGATGCCGATTTGATCGTAGAGCTCTGGGTGAACACAGACGGCTACAGGATTTATTTCCTGATTCAACAACGGCAGGAAGTCAGTGATGACGGGGGTAGCAACTCAACGCTGATAGGCTATCGCGCCGGGGCGTAACGCGAATATTTCGCAGAAGTTGAAAAATTTCAACTCGCGCGTTTGGGGCGATTTGGCGTTTGACGCGGATTTGCGTCAATCGCGCCGCAAATTCGCGTCAATCGCGCCGCGCCATCGTAAATTCGCGCCGCGACAGTCTCATCGCGTCTGTGCATAGACTTTGTATGTAATCTACTCGCGCGAGTAATTCGCGACGCGTTTGGTGTGAACGCAGCATTAGGCATTTTACACTGCATGAGTTAAAGAGAGAGAAACCAATATGACAGCAGCACGCAGGAAAGACTCACATTGAGCTGAAATATAACTCCAGATTATATTCTCTCACTGCATCGATGGCTCTCGTATAAACAGTACGGTCCATGCTGGATGGTCTGCAGCAGCAGTCTGGTCCTCTGCATTAAGGGCTGCGCTGTGCTGTTTTCAGAGTCGCAGCACCATGGGGCAGTACGGGTCTTCAGTGGCCACCAGGGGGCTCCTTCACTCCAACTCCCAACACGTCTCTGTTGGCTTCAGACCACTTCACAAACCCAACTGGCTGCTGGTCAACAAGAAGGTACGACACATCATTAGTTTATCTGGTTTAAATGTGAGGACTGGTTTGAATGTGAGGACTGGTTTAAATGTGAGGACTGGTTTAAATGTGAGGACTGGTTTGAATGTGAGGACTGGTTTGAATGTGAGGAC